GGCTGTTTATCGGAGGAAATTGCTAATGAATTTCAATGTAATATGATACAAAATATTCTTTTTTTTTCATAATATTTTACATTCTGATACAGTAACGTCGATCAAAACTTTAATTGAATGTTGTGGTATTAATATTAATTTACGAAATAATTGTTATGAAATTTCGATGCGATTTTTACGACATTAACGAAATTAAATTTCGCCGTCGCGTCATTTTTATACGCAAATTGTTCTTTGATTGATAAAGCGCGACTGATGAAATTACCTCGAGATTCAAAACATTCGCCGATCCCAGCGAAACAAATTTTCATTTACGAGACCATTAAATCGAATAAACAAGACTCGATCTTGGTTTGTTTCAAACACGTTGAAATCCGCGAATGATTATCTTTCTCGTCGATTTCGTCACACTTCTCTTGTCGCTTCTCTCAGCAACACGTTCGAATTCCCTCGAATCGCGATGAATTTACCATTACCGGCGAGGCAAAAGCAAGGAAAAGATAAAGGAAAGATGGAAGGGTAGCGAGATTAAATCTCGAAAGACGACTACTCGCCAGGCGAGAGTAAGCTAAATATTTCTAAAGGCAGCGTCGTCTCTGACATTCAGAAAGAAAATTTCGTTTTAATTCCCGTCCGCCATCACCGTTCGAGGCTATATACAATTCTCTGACGAGCCAGAAAACGCGAACAGAAACAAGACGTACTATCATCCGTGTATCTCGATGCACTTAGTTTCAAATTGCTTTGATATCTCGTATCACGCCAGCTTATTTGCAAGCACTCGTCTGCGATTTGCAAGAGCTCGATAACACGCAATCGCCTCTCACATCCATCCATTCGCTTTTACGTCGTTCCTGGAACAACGATTTCATCGCGAAATCGTCGATTTTCTTCGGAAATATTATTCATTGTACAGAAGTATAGAATGAGACACGTAAGATTTATATCATTCGTTCAGGCACAGAATGATCCTGTTTGGACAAATATTATTCTTTGTCAAGAATACAAAATAACAAGCAAACTTCTAAATGTGTTCGTAAATTTATTTAATCGAGGAGAAATTGTTGGTTCATAAAATTATCGTCGCAAGCATTTGAAGTTTGATAAATCTTCTCTCGACTAAAATATAAGAAGTAACGAGTCAAATTTCAAATATCCGACATAGATGACAAATTATGCACAATTGTCTGAAGTATCGTACAATTAAATTTTAACGTTCGTCGTGAAATAATAACCGCGTATCGGAAGATCGAAACTTTTGTATTTTCAACTTTTCAATAATTAATCTGTTTTTGACAATTTACGTTAAATTCAATCTCTGAAAGTTCACTGCTCTTCCGACACTTTAAATCGTATAAATAAAAATGTCAGTTTTTCTAGATGAAAAATTGCAAAATTAAGAAGCGCAAGGTTACACGAAGAATAACGTTTGTTAGAAAAATTATATGATATAAAATTATCATATTAAGTTATATATAAAATAAAATTATATTATATGAAATTATTGTAAAATTATAATTACGCGACAATGATCGAATTTATATTTTATTTCACTGGCGACTCATAAATCTTCTTTCTTTGATCCTCTGCAACGCCGTTGTTGCATTTCAAGAGCCCCCCCCCCCAATTTGTTTTTGTCTGCCGCATTATTATTTTTTTTTTTTAAATGCTCCAGTGCGTAATTCAAATGGGAACTTGCAATAAACTAAACCATTACGTTTTTCCCCCAGAAATAAAAGGAAATCCGATTACGCGGGATTAATGTAATCCTGAAAAGGAAAAGGGGGCCGCGGAATAAAAATTTTCCACAGTCCAAGGTCCAGTGTTTCAAGAATCTCTTTCTACAAAAGTAATTAATAGCACTAGCATAATGACAAGTAATATTTCCAGAACGAAAGAGTCGGAACACCACGTGTTAAAATATAACTTTAACCAATTACAGTCACGCGTAATTCTTCACGCTGTACTGAAGCTTCCTTCGTAAAAGCAAATGAAATTGAACTTTTAATTTAATTATTTTGTAAAGTTCGTATGATTTCATTGCACGTAACATCTAAAAATAAATTTTTTCGTTGCAATGTTTTACAATACGATAATTCTGACAAACAATAAAATCATCTTTCGTTTATGTTATAATTTTGTTAGATTATACTACAAATAGAATGATCAATTTATTTGTTAATAAAATATCTCTTATATTCTCTATAAAAGAAAGAACACTGTCAATTATTATAACAAATTAATTAGAATCCATTAGAGTGTCCAAAACTTTTCTTTCTTTTATTTTAAATATTCGGCTCGTGACTTACATGGGCTATAGTCTGATCTAGTACAGATATATTCTGTGACTAACTGTACCTAACCACCAACTGTAACTTATATACTGTATTAATTACAGGGAATTAATTTGTAACTTATATACTGTATTAATTACAGAGGATTAATTCGACATTCCATTGCTCTCTTCACAAAATATTAATTTCACTCACCTTGCACATTCTCTGGCAACAAAAAACGATCGTGCAACCCTCCGAAGAAGCTTGCTCCGCGGTAACAAGAAACCTCGCAAAACTCCAGAAGCCTATTCATTGCCAGTAACGAAAGGGTAACGAGAAACAGACCGAGTAATCTTCACAAAATCGAAGAAACTGCTACGAGAAACGCATTCTCGCTACCGGTTCTCGTTCCGCAGCTTTTCAACTAACGTCCGACGCGTTCAACCCCATCGGAATATCTTAAAGAATTTCTCTCTCTATGTGTATTTAACCGACAGATACAGTGTCGACTAAAAGTTTCGACACACCTCCGAGGCGAACTTGTACTCGTACTTAGCTGCACGTCAATGTCTATTGTATATTTTTTTGGCTATACTGTCGAACGACAGACATGTTGATTTTCTACACAAGACGTATTAAAATAAAACGTGTGATAATTAGTAAAAAGAACCATCGCAATAAATAAGTAAAGTATACAATAGTGAAGAAAAAAAGAATCAATTTTCTATTCAGGTTCCCTTTTTCTTAAATTATATTATATAAAAATACATTATATTACATAAAAATACGAACGTCTACAGTCTAAAAATCATTTTTGATTCGCACACACGTTTGTAGAAATTTTTTGCGAATGCATTTCGCCATTCGCGGTTGTACACTAACTTGCAACATCCACGCACATGTTCAGATTAGTTCAACCACCTCGTAATCGTGATTCTCGTCTCTCGTTACGGTATCGATGTAATTTCAAAATATCTTGTTAACAGAAAGGCCCATATATTCGTAAAAAGTTCGAACACATTTACGAGCCGCAGCATGCACATCCTTCACGCGCAGCAGGTGTATATATATATATATATATATATATATATATATTCCAACTTTCAGCCGGTAGTGTAGCCACTATTCTCTCTCTGCAGCCTCTGCACCATCCGTTCCACCAGAGCTGAAGAGAGGAGAGAGAATGGTAGGTATTTGTTTCGCAAGATATCGAGCGTAGAGGCGGCGGTGATCATCGAAAAAATGGAACCGGAAATAATTAAGCGAGCCGTAACGAAGGCACTTTACATAATTGCTCGCCAGGGGAAATTCAGTTGATGGGGGGAGAACGTTTGCAGCTGAAAATTCGTATCGCTGTGAAAATCGCTCGGTGAAAATACGTACCGCTCTGGCACGAGGGCGTTCGACGCCGGGATGAGTTATGAGTAGCGTGCGCTGGTGAAAAGATGGCAACAGGAAGGATGGAAGTGGCTTGGTCCTGGTGTTCGGAAATAGGAGGGGTTGCAAGATTTTTTCGCGTCGGAGTTTCGAAGATTCTACTGGGTGTCATTTTGCGTCGCGTGCTCGACTGACACTTTCTCGTGAAAGGTTCGTCAAGCTTCTCGAATAAAAGTTCGAACGTCAGATGTCAAAAAGCGCAAAGTTATTTTCAGGCAAATTCATTCAAATTTATCTAGATCAAAGGCACTCGAGTTTGTGTGATGCGGCACTTTAGCGAACGTGTAACACGCGTATTTTGCAAATGAAAATAGTTGAACTGCTACGAAGTTGCTTGTCAAGTAAATATGATAATTCGACACTTTAACAGGGGCAAAATGATTACGTAAATTGTACGTGAATATTAATCTTATTATGTATTCATCAAATGGATCTTCATACAACCAAGGTATGACATGGTCTTTTCTGAATATTGAACATATCTATATATTCTTACAAAGTTAAACTGCGAGAGAAATGAAGAAGATCAAAATTAATAATGGATAAATTTCGAAGAGTAGGTAATTAGATTGGATAAAAATAAAGACGATGAGAATTAATAATTTGGAAAATCGAGAGTAGTGTTAGTATAACTAAAAAGTACTTAGTATAATTAAAAATCTCATTTCCTACGTAATTTAATCAAATCTAATATCGTATCGATTGATAATCTATGTTACCTATAAATTTCACAAGATATATAACAATGACCGTAATATTAGCCTGAATTCCTAAGTTGCCAATTTATACGTGAATACGAGCTGGATAGACAGAGTAATATGGTATCATAAAGGCACGTGTGTGCTTTAGGGTAAATTTATGTATCGATTGGCGTGCAATCATGTGACTAGAGATTGTGCATATCGTAGACTCTAAGATTATTATTGTTGATGAGATTTGTATTATTTTCTGTTTTATCTTGTTACGATCTATACATATGATTATCGATTTCGAGCTTGGCACGAATATTGATTTTTATTTAAAATTATTGCAAACGTTAAAATCTACAAAATGCATCAAATGATCATACACAAAAATATATATATATATCTAACATCTTTTTAAAAATTTATAAAATTGTATGCGGTTGTTAAACCCTTCCTTTATCATTGAATATCCTCGAAATTAATTAATACAAAATAGTTTAAATTCTAGCTTTTGATTATCACGGTGTGCAGATAATAGAATGAAATTATAAATTTAGAAAGCAAATTATTGTAGAAAGCCACGCCTCTGGTTATTTTATCATTGCGGAGTAAGCTTATTAGTATTATTACCCAAATTCTCGGCAAATATTTCACATTTCTCTCTGAAAGTCCGGTCCCCAATTTCAAATCCATATCGTGCATCAAATTCCAAAGTGAGAGAGAATGCCATCGACGGTAAATATTTTGCTCCATGTGAAACGCCTCCGGCGTATTCGATTCATAATACGTTCCTTTTTTTCCTCTCCGAGAAAAAAAAAAAAAAAGAAACTAAACACGAAGAACATGGAGAAACAAGCACGATAAAAATTGAAGTTTTACAGTTTTAAAAATTAAGTGTTTCATATCTTTAGACGAAGAAAAACCGAAACAGCAATAAATGAAACTGTTGAAAAATAATAATTTTAATATGAACATTGTACTCAATAGAATAATTTGAAACATTTGAAGCGAAAGCTAAATCCAAATCCACCGATTAACGAAAAAAGTTTAAGAAAGTTTTTACATATTTAAAATTTGATAAAAGAAGATACGTGAAACAGTGAAGATATTAAAATATAGTTAAAATATTAAAGCTGAACATTGGAAACTAACTTTTTCGACAGTTTGGTAAAATTTCGTTCATTTCGTTCTAATATGTACAATAACTATCCAACAAATGTAAGAGAAAACAATCTCGTGATCGATGGTAAACATCTTTCGCCACGTGAATTCTGTGAACTGTTCGATTGATAACATGTTTCCTTTCCTTTATTCACCCTCTCCGCAGTTCGAAAAAACAGAAAAGAAAAAGAAAAAAAGAAAACAGATGCTTCGGTCAGTAATCCGTTTATTTTCGTGGGATGCACGCGAGGGATTTAAACGTCCGCCGGTCGCAAATGTGAAAAAAACGGGCGACCGGTGGGAAAAACGCGAAAAGCATGGGAAAAAGGATGAAAAAAAGCAGAAATACGGGGACAGAGAAAGAGAGAGAGAGAGAGAAAGTTTTCGCGCAAGAGTATTAGCAGCAAATTAAAATCGATGACGACCACCGATGTCAAAAGAAGAAATATAAAGGGCAGAAACAGAGAAACAAATGTTCGATGCGGTATTAATACAGTCGCCGAGTCGCTGTTCCTTGTTTTCCCATCCTTTTATCTTTAATTTCCTTCGATATAATTATTTTAGTTTTATAATTAACGTAATAATAAATAAATAACAATATGATACGTCAGACATTCATTCAGAAAAGTGTTTGAACGTGTAATGTAAATATAGGTAAGTCAATTAACCTTTTAAACTCTTCTTTTAGTCTGTTGTAAAAAAAAAAAAAAAAAAAAAAATTAATGTCACGGTGAAAGAAATCATTTGCACGTAAAAGATTATCCAGAGAAACCACGTAACATAAGAAACTACATTGCCTACACTTTTTTATCTCTCTTCTTCCAGTACGATTTAATTTAGTATAATTCCTCGTCTGCCAGTCACGACGAAAATCAATTTTACATTCACGTGCCAGATTATCATGGAAACCTATTTTCAACATTTCCATTCGTTCGTTTAAATATCGTCTTACAAACCCTTTTTCAACAGATAAATATACTATAAATATACTATAAAAAATAATTTACACTCTAATAAATATATTATACTAAATATAAATATACTATATGTAAATAAATATATAGTAAATAAATATACTATAAATAAATATACTATACTATGATGTTAATTTCAGGAAATAAATATTGTAAAAACATATTGCAACAGACAGGAAAGAAAAGACAGAGTGAAAACAAAAAAGTGAGATTAGAGCAATTTGGACGCTGTAGGGCCAGCTAACCATCCCCCAAATGTAACAGATCGGAGGGGGTTGCAAAGCTCTCAGCCAACAAGCGTCAGCAGACACGCGATTCCACCGCGTCTAGCCTCCCGGAAGTCTTCCGGCGGAACTCATCGTTGTCGCGTCTCGCCAACGGCACTCTCCTCTCCGTGTTTTACGTACTTGCGATTCAACACGGCTCGCCCTGTTCGTATAATGAGTCTCGTTAAAGCAACGAGCACCACGAACGAACGATGCTTAATCCCCGATATCCTTGGACAACGTTGGAAATCCCTGGTGTTTCTTCTTTTTCTTTTTTTTTTTTTTTCTTTCTCTTTTCGTTGCAATTTCAGAGATTGATTAAATTTATAATATGTTTTTGACTAGTTTTATAGACTGGCTGGAAGAAACATATTTTGGTGTAGGTTTTCCAACAGTTCAGAGACGTTGTTTTCGAGCACGTCTCTTCTGCAAAATTGATTTTAACGAACATTGGATGGTAATAATTAAAATAGACTGTGAATGTTTGTGTTTTTAAAGAGGACCTAAATCAATTGATCATATTGTGTACTATCAAGTATATTAAGAAAGACTTACATTAATATTCATATTATGTACTATTAAGTTCAATATTAAATAGTAAAGTAAATTATAAATGCACAGGCAGATTAGAGTGATAGAAAATGCAATTCAAGAAGAGGAAGAATTTACTACTTCATTTTCTAAATATTACAACGAGCATTTTATCGATATTGCGATAATTACTATTAAGCTAAGTACTATTTAATATTAATATAAGTACTATTTAATATTAATATTAAATTCTACGTGAAATAAATTTAAGTGGAATTAGGCTTTTATAACATTTGATGGATTTATGAACTACAGTGTAGAGATAAATAATAGAATCTAATAATATTTAACGTAAACATTTCAATCATCGTTTCACCAGTTTCCACCTTAATTAGCCACGTGATTCGTACATATCGTCCAGAGCCGCCAAGTTCGCTGCACCGTTGCTCGTTCTCACGTGACAAGTAACTCTTTTTTCTCAAAATCGAGAAGCAAGTTTCATCACGCGAGTGTATTCCAGAGTATATTCCAGATTCGCAAATTATCCAGTAATTTTGTTTCATACCGAGGAGTGCAATAAATTCTCATGAAAAGATCGTACGAACGATATATAATATTCTACGGACAAGTTCTCGTTCCTTGATTTACATATCTCACGAATATTCGGACATTTTATTCTACGCCGGTGATACGGATTCAGCCAGGCGCTGATAATGTATCTTTATTTGTTGGCTAAGTGTGAAATATTTCCATCTTAAATCTCCACGTCGCGTTACATTCATTTCCCGTGGAAATGTTTTAAGTTCTCGCCGAACTCGCGCGACCGCGCGGCCGTGCTTCTGCGAACTTTATCGCCCGGAAATGTAGTCTCTGGATGAAAGAACAATCTCTGCCACCCTCACGTTCCACGACTTCATCACGGTTGATAAAATTAAAATACCGCGATATTGTTAATTTCCATGCTAGCGGACAGGGTACGAGGTAAGATTCTCCCTCGGAGAATTTTGAACAAAGTCGAGTCTGTACTCGACGAACGGCAGCTCGCTACTATAAAACATTTAACGATCTCGAAGCATATGAAACTGAAATGTAGGATGTTTCTAACTTTTACAGTCTATGAAGATTTATTAAATATTGCATTTTCGAGGACATTTGAACAAGTGGGAGATTTTTTGTGTATTATATAAAACATTTTGAGGTTTCATATATATATACATAATTATATTTTAAATATTTTTTATATATAATTATATTATATTAAAAATATAAATATATAAATACATAATTATATTTTAAATATTATACATGTTATATTTTATATATAATTATATTATATTAAAAGTATATATAAGTATATATATATATATAAAATATAAAAATATTAAAAATATAAATAATATAAAATATTTAAAATATTAATTATGTATTTATATATTTATATTATATATATATTTATATTTTTAATATAATATAATTATATATAAAATATTTAAAATATATATATATAAATCTGAAAATATATATAGTATTTGCAAGATATTTATTAAAAAGTTAATGTACAGCATAAATATCCATTCTACACATATAAATATATAATAAGTCGTGTAATAAAAAATCGTAATATTATTGTGAAATAATTGGTTCCTTAAATACTTTCGTGATCATCCTGAAATATTATCAGATATCTTGCAACCTCTACACATTTCTAAATTTGTTTTAAACTTGACCAACATTAACCAGGATAGTCGTGTTTCGTCACAGTGTTCTTGAAATATCAAAATGTTTACAACACGCGTCACTTTTTACATACCTAATACATTCGCGGAAAGGTCGTTCGAATACTTTCGTGAGCAATTGTACACTGATTTAATTTATTACATATTTCTAATTTCTAAAACTCTGATGGAGCGTAGAGTAGCAGGCAGAAGAAAAGTAACTTTGCGAGGAACAAAGGTAGGAAAAGTGGCACGAAGAACGTTTGACGTTGCACGATCGTGAACGTTTCATACGTTTTAAGCAAAACGGCGCAGCATCTCGGAGGTTAATGCTCGTTGTAATTTTGTTTTCACGTGTTACACCCCGTGAAACCGTGACTTGATTAACGTCCAGACATAAAAGCAAGGGATCAAATTATACGGGTCTATAAAGCGAATTTTAATTCCCGTTAACGGCCGAATTTAAGCCGCACTTCGAAGCAACTATCGGCCAAATCAAATTAAGAAGTACCATAAAAGATTCGTTCGAGTTTCAGAATCCACTCCTGGAAGGAACGACTCAGATTTTGAAGACAGAGCAAGGATAGAGTATTATTCGTACTTTAAGGTACATCTAGGAACGTTTGTAAATTAATTTTATCCAAGTAACATTCAATCACGTGTCGTTTGAACAGTAGTTTCGCATAAATACAGAGTGAAATGTAGAACCTGAGCGAAAAATCACTTCCTCGACGCAACAAACAGTACAGTACGCACATTTCCCGGAAACAATTTCAAAAAGTCATTATTTCACTTTTCCCTTTCTACTCTAAAAATTCTTATGACAATGTTAATCAAGTTTCGTTCGCGCGAGAACAATCCACACGTTCATCGTCATGAAAGAAGAAGAAAAAAAAAAAGAAAAAAAGGGAAAACCAAAATGAAAACGTGATAAAAAAAGAAAAGAAACGAGAGTAACGTTAATCCTGGTTCTCGCAGGCGTCGTTTGCATAACCGAGAAACGGAGCAACAGTGTGACGAGGGTTGGCTCGAGAATGAAATCGCCTGGGATCACGTTGTCTTCGAAGGTCGGTGATCCCGGAAGGAACGAACCCCACCCGGAACAGGGCGAGGCCGTAACGATATTTCATCTTCTTCGTTTCGCGGCTGTCAATGGCCGCCAGCCTTATACGCGGACAAGGTAACCGTGAATTATGCAAAGCACGGTGGCCAAAAAGAAAGAAAAAAAAAAAAAAAAAAAAAGGAAGGAACATCTCCGATCGTAAGACTTATATTTTACAGCTGATGTAATTACAAGTGTCTCATAAATTTCGAGGAAAAAGAAAAACAGCGAGGAAGACGATTAAAAACCTGTTCGATAGACCGGCGGGATATTTCTCCGACCTGTGATGCCTTTTATGCAGGCAAATCGCGGGACGATCGAGTAACGGCGTGTGCCTCGCGACTTCTATAGAACGAAACGGAGTTAATTAATGGTCGAAGTGAAAGTCTCGGGCGTTCCGCGATCGTATAATCGCGGATCGGGGCAGAGAAACGCGCGTAGAAACGATAATCGGGGGGCCCCGCGATGCATTCCGAAACGGCGCAACTCCGCCGATCGGTACCCTCCACGATCGAAAAATCGGATATTCGCTCGATTCGTTGCTCGTCGAATTTTCCTATAGACGTTAATTATGAAATTACGTAATACTGGATAAGTCGAGAGTAACTGTATAATAATATAACAAGTAGGGGAGTGATGGCCCACTTTTGAGGAAACAAAATTATTGGTAAATTATTAGTCTTGAACATAATCGATATCAAAAATATTTGTGAAAGTAGATGCATATAAATTGATGACGTTACAACTTCGTTTGTCCGTCAATCGTCTATTATTAGATTTTCTTTTGACATTCAACTGGCAATTATATTTAATTAATGATTCTCTAGAAAAATATTTACTGACTATTTATGTAGACTATATTTATTACATGATATATACTATTTCATGATGAATCCTAATCCGATAGTCTGTTTTTTTTTTTATAATTATACAACAGCATCTCATTATGGAAATGTAACAATAACCTCAAAACCTAATATATATATATATACACAACCTAAGATACAAAAGATAGTCTCGCGGATTAGAATTCCCACGGCTCTAGTTCTGTCAACGCGATTCTTGCGTGTTCTATTCGTAATTTTTAGGCCTGTTCAAACTGTCCTCTGCCCCCTTAAATCTGATTTTCTCCAGTTACGAAGCGTTGCTCGTAATTCCTTCACACGACGAATCCGAATAACACTGCCAGCTTCGATTCGTCTCGTCTCACCACCGATCTGCGAGCATGGATCACGCGTGCGTGTAAAATACGACGTACGTGCGTACATGGCAACCCTGCGAACATTTGCAAACTAGTTCGTCGTTTCTACGTCGTGCGACAATCTCGAGCACACGGAGGGTCGAATGTTAAACGCGACTTACGAAATCGAGTATTATATATATATATATATATATATATATATATATCTGGTGTACGCGCAAGAGACATGTGGATTGTGTGAGGAACAGGATGGTTCCTCGACCCCTCTCCGAGGGGTGACTTTTCGAGGAGTTTCTACTAATCTCGTCACGCGTGACGTGATGCGATTAGGAATCTAAGGAGACGCTATTGTCGAGCGTTTGCTCGGGATTTATTCGAAGGAACGGGTGGAAAGAACTGGGGAAAAAATCGAAAGAAAGCTATTACGAGCTATAATATACTATAATATTACTGTATAATATACTATAATATACTATAATATTACTGCATAATATACTATAATATACTATAATATTACTGCATAATATACTATAATATTACTGTATAATATAGTATAATATTACTGTATAATATACTATAATATACTATAATATTACTGTATAATATACTATAATATTACTATACAATATACTATAATATTACTGTATAATATACTATACAATATACTATAATATTACTGTATAATATACTATACAATATACTATAATATTAGTGTATAATATACTATACAATATACTATAATATTACTGTATAATATACTATACAATATACTATAATATTACTGTATAATATACTATACAATATACTATAATATTAGTGTATAATATACTATACAATATACTATAATATTACTGTATAATATACTATACAATATACTATAATATTACTGTATAATATACTATACAATATACTATAATATTACTATATATTACTATATATACTATATATACTACATAATATTACTATATATTACTATATAACTATAATATTACTGTATAATATACTCTAATATTACTATACTATAATATACTATAATGTTACTGTATAATATACTATAATATTACTATACAATATACTATAATATTACTGTATAATATACTATAATATTACTATAAAATATACTATAATATTACTATACAATATATATTATTGTACAATATACTATAATTATTTATTACTATACTATAATATACTATAATACTACAACTATTACTGTATAATGGACAGGGGGGAAAAAAGGAGCACGATTACGAAGGAAAACGATAGAATTCAGAGAAACAAAATATCCTGATTAATCGTGAAAATCACGAGGTATACAACGAGACACTCGACATTGTTCTCACCATGCGCATTCACCGTCCAGCCCTTGTGAAACAGCCACGAGCAGCGATTTTATGCCTCCGTTTGCACAATGCGACGAGGCAACGCTTAGGCTATAAAATACGGAACTAACCCTCGACATATTTGCAAACTGGTCCTCATCCTCTTGCAGAGAGACGAACGTCCGTGGCTAGAAAAAAAAAGGGGGGGAGGTCGCTCGAAGAACAACGCACCCCTTCTGCGTTGCGGAGAAGACGGTATTCTTTCGAGAATTCGCGCGTTCGTTCCGATATTTCATTCAAAACGACGACGACGCAACACGCCGAGGCTTGCCGAGGTGGTTACTCCTTTTTTCACCGTGCCGCCGACGTAATTCGAGAATCGAGCACAGAGATAATAAGACTGGTTTGTTAAAGGAACAGGACGACGACGACGACGTTCCTTCGTTTCTTCTTCTTCTTCTTCTTTTTCTTCTTCTTCTTCTCTCTTTCTTATTTGTTCTTGAACGTGAGATTTCGAGAAAACGCCGGGTGCAAACACGTCGATGACGGTGCAGAAACGAAAGAAAGAATTAAAACTAAAAGGGAGAAAAGAAAGAGAAACACTTTGTCTTTCGTCGATTCGCTCGCTCGACACGACCGCGAGCGAGTTAGGCATTTTCTTTATCTCTGTCAGATAACTCGCGGCTCTCGGTTCGTTATTTCCCCCTGCCGATATATTACAGCCAGAAATAGTGCTCGTTGCAAAATAATCGAACTCGCGCTTCGATTCTCAGCGCTTGAGAATATCAGCAATATACGAAATAATTAACAATTACAGTACGCTGCTAATATTTGTGAAAATAATAAATTGTTTGTAGAGTATTCAACAACGTGTCGTTGAGTTAAATATTTATATATGCACTTTCAAATTCAAAAGAGCTTCCTTGGGACACTTTTATTTTTAATATTCAGTAGTTATCGCCGACTACTAACGAACATTTTACGACACAACGTACAAACGTTATTGTAAATAATTTATAATTTACAACGCACGTTGACAATGAGCAATTTATATTTCTGTTACACATTCACACTGTGCAATTTATATTATATTATATTTTACATTTTATTTTATTTATTATATTATACTTTTATATATATTATATTTTATATTTTATTTTATTTATTATATTATATTATATTTTTATATATACTATACTATATTTTATATTTTTATATATATTATATTTTATATTTTATTTTATTTATTATATACTATATTGTATATTTTTATATTTTTATATATATTTATACTATATTGTATATTTTTATATTTTATATTGTACTTTATATTTCTATATATATTATATTTTATATTTTATTTTATTTATTATATACTATATTGTATATTTTTATATTTTATATTTTTAATTATTTAATTATATTTTTAAATATAATATATTTTTATATCTATTGTATTATATTAAATTTTATATTGCAAATATATTATATTTTTATATTTATTATATTACATTAAACTTTATATTGCAAATATTTCATTTACAATTTGCATCTATCGCGCTACCTTGATCACGTTGGGACAGATACACGGCACTTGTACCAAGATTTCTGAAACAGGGGGGTGGGCACGTATTGTTCGAGCCAGTTGCGTGACAGACGTGTGCAATTAACGCGAGTTATCTCTCGTTAAGGAGCTATTCGGCTAATAGACAATAGCATCGAGCCGGTTATTACTAGAAATCCAGCTCCGTTTCTCGCGTCGAAGTTCAACGACGATCCAAAGATAGAAGTAATCAGCCAACGACTACCAAAGCTTTCACCAATAACAACGTTGAACCAACACTCCGAGGAAAACACTTTAATCCTACCACCAGCCAACGCTTAATCGCGGCCTACGCGAACCGATCGCAATATACACGTAGTACGTATCTACACGTGATAAAAGGGAGAGAGAAGGAGAGAGAGAAAAAGCACGTTTGTTTTTGCTAAACTAAACGAAAACGGAAAAGCAATTATCCGTAAAATTCAACGACACACACACACACACACACACGTGTATGGATACATTTCGTTGTTATGCGTTTCGCGGCGAGAGAGTCGAGCCTCTGCGTTGTATAATTCAAAAAGCGTATAATTTAGTTCAGCGACTGATTATTTACGCTTTTTCAAATTACCCTCTATAGTCGACAATTGCAGCGATTAACGATTAAAAAAAAAAAAGGGAGAGAGGGAGATGGAGAGATAAAGAAGAGGCAGATACGAGACGCGCTACACTTTACTTTTCTCTCTTTCTCTCTCTCTCTCTCTCCACGCGCGAGCTTTCTCTTTGCTATCAAGACGCCGCCTGGTTGCGTTCTTTTTATCTGTATCGAGGGGGGGGGCTCCCTCTTCATCTCATTCTTTCTCTTTTTTTTTTTTTTTTTCAAGTCGATAAGAAGTGTATCGGACCGAAAAGCCACGTTTTTGTGGCCAAAAGTCAAATTTTTTTTTTTTCAGAAGATTTTGTTTTCCTATGAAATATAAGAACCTTTTGAAACTCTGGAATCCAAAATATATTATTGATTTTTTTATTGATCATCACAATTTGGAAAATCAAAGTGAAGTTAATTCTTTTAATTATTAATTATAGAACTTTAGGCAAATAGAGGGTTTTAATCGATTGTTTTATCGATAAAGCGCGTTTCCACTGTACAATTGCATTTTAAAAACGTATTTTAATACGAACGTTTATAAACGCGACTCAAATTTTGAGAACGGTTTTTTAAAAAGAATGATAAAGAACGAGTGATCAGATTTGTATCACGTGAAAGTTGAAACAATTGTTAAGTTGAGTATAAATTTCCATCACAAGCATTAAGATAAAAAGAGAAAAAATTTACAATACAATCTTGTATTGTGAAGAAACTTTTACTCGTCGTTGAAGTACAGAAACATTTATTCATACGAAAAGCTTTAAATCTCTGTTTAACATAAAGTTTAAATCTACTAATTAAATCTCTGAAAATTCATCTTGCTTTACGTCTACAAAATTCCTACGAAAAATTATGAATCGGTCATTTTGACTATCTCGGCAGTTCTAGTGTTAAATAGACGCTAATAAATATTTTAGAAAGGACAGTGAGCACTATCGCCACAATTTTTCAGTAATTGAAGAGATGATCTGACAAACAAAAAAAAAAAAAAAATTTTTCTGGAATGAAAATTTATCTTCTACAAATTTTGTTTTGTACTCTTTAAACGTCGTTGCATACTTTTGACTTGATAACACGTTGAATCTGGCGTCAAGACGAATCCAAAGACTCGCCACCGCGATCTTACATCCCGAAGTAACGTTGAAATAATTTTGAGACGCGACTGTGAACCGCGGAGAGGCCGAAAAGGCTCGTTCCATCATCTCCTTCGCTATGTAATCACTGTGTGTCACTGCCATTGTCTCAAGTGCCATTACAAAGAATCTATTGATACTCTGGCGAGTGATAGAGAGAGAGAGAGAGAGAGAGAGAGAGAGAGAGAGAGAGAGAGAATCTTCAAAGCCTGGCGCGGAACAAGTGATCGCGATACGGTTGCGTTTGCAGCGTGGCGACGCTGTGCAATTTCGCAGGTTTATTTTCAATAGCGGGATCACGTATCATTAGAAGGTACAGTGTGCCATTAGAAGGTACAGTTAATCCTCGAACAACTGCGCCGATGATCACGAATGATGACCTAACAATAAAGTCATATATTTCGCGTTTGCGTTTGAATGAATTGGAAAATATTTTTATGCAAAATATTTCAGGAAATATTTGGTCTTGCGAGATAAGAATTTATTATGACTACTTGTCATGCATTATGACTACTTGTCATACATTATGAAATCTTGTGTTTGTAGCTTATTGGGAAATATGATTTTTGCGAAATGCTTGAAATGACTTGGAAGGTCTTACAACAATAAAAAAAGAAAAAAAAATGAATCTTATTGTAAAGAAAAATTTTTAAACAAATCTATTAATTTATTTTACAATTATGTTTCTAAGTGATTAATTTTCATCATTTCTCATTTCCCTCTCGTTCCTCGGAAATGGGATTTCGAGTGTCGAGCGATTTGTGATGTTTCTAAATTTTTACAGCTTCTTGGATATTAATAAAATAAATAGACATAATATTATAAATTAATATAAATTAATATTAATTAATAAAATAATATTACAAACTAATAAAATAAATGAAATAAATTTTTTAATCTTCTTAGAAATTAATAAACTCATACGATTATTTGATTTTAAAAGAATGCGACGCGAAACAAATAACTGATAAACTCTTTTTTCTTTTTTTAATTTCTGACTTGGACCGCTAAAAAAAGTGGACCGCTTGTGGTGCCGATTAAAAAGAAAAGGTCGAACTGTTTCGAATTACAGTGTACAGTGACACTGAATAAAATTTACTTTTGTTTTCTGAATGTCATTACTGTTATCGTTATTATTCTTTGTTAACCCATGTGAAATAAATATGTACGTATCTCTGTAACTTGTACCAGCCTTTCTTTCCAATATTTTCCACCGACCGATTTTCATTCGCGTAAAAGAAATCTACACGTGGAGCGGATGTGTGTGTGTGTGTATGTGTGCTTCGAAACAACTTCCCTCCCTGACAGAGAATCCCTCGGTTTATCCGTGGAATTACCGCGCAGCGTCACCGCGGCGTCAAGTCGCAAGGCTAATGCAAGCACATCGGGCCTTAAACGCGTGCAGCAATCACCGCCGCCCAAGTACTCCTCCTCGTTATCGTAGAGCGCAAGGCGAAACTTCGCAGTCCCCTTTCGTCGTAATCGCGAACGCAACGCGGGCCCTAATTACTGCCGGGGCACCAGATAAGCTTAGGGATCGGCGTTCATCCTCTGCCGTTCTATATATTCTCTTGTTGCATTTGTTGCTCGCCATTCGACGCAGGCCCGAGGTGTTTCGAAAAATTTTCCAAAATCATTTCAGAGATAATTCGTTTGTAAATTGATTGTTTGTGAAATGAATAATTGTCTCGGAAGTAATTGTTGGAAGTCGTTCCACAAATAATTCACTTGTAAAATACTAAGCAATAATATGTTGTACTTGGTGTGAAAATTTTTTTTCCAAAGTCATTTCAGAGATAATTCGTTTGTAAATTGATTGTTTGTGAAATGAATAATTGTCTAGGAAGTAATTTTTGGAAGTCGTTTCACAAATAATTCATTTGTAAAATACTAAGCAATAATATGTTGCACTTGATGTGAAAATTTTTTTTCCAAAGTCATTTCAGGGATAATTCGTTTGTAAATTGATTATTTGTGAAATGAATAATTGTCTAGGAAGTAATTTTTGGAAGTCGTTTCACAAATAATTCATTTGTAAAATACTAGCAATAATATGTTGCACTTGATGTGAAAATTTTTTTTCCAAAGTCATTTCAGGGATAATTCGTTTGTAAATTGATTGTTTGTGAAATGAATAATTGTCTCGGAAGTAATTTTTGGAAGTCGTTTCACAAATAATTCATTTGTAAAATACTAGCAATAATATGTTGCACTTGATGTGAAAATTTTTTTTCCAAAGTCATTTCAGGGATAATTCGTTTGTAAATTGATTGTTTGTGAAATGAATAATTGTCTCGGAAGTAATTGTTGGAAGTCGTTCCACAAATAATTCACTTGTAAAATACTAAGCAATAATATGTTGTACTTGGTGTGAAAATTTTTTTTCCAAAGTCATTTCAGAGATAATTCGTTTGTAAATTGATTGTTTGTGAAATAAATAATTGTCTCGGAAGTAATTGTTGGAAGTCGTTTCACAAATAATTCATTTGTAAAATACTAAGCAATAATATGTTGTACTTCGTGTAAAAATCGAATTAATTTATTTCCAATTGAATGGTTCATTTGTTATTTCGTGAAATGTTTGCTGTTTATTATTCGCCAGATACTTTGTTACTCGATTTTCATAGAAATAACTGGTTTCAGTTTCCAGTTTAAACTACGTATGTAGTGACGAAATCTTTTTAAATTAATAATAGATTATTATTATTATTTGTTAGCAGTAACATTATTATTATTATCATATAAATTAACAGTATTATTGTTATTAGTATTATTATTATTATTATTATTATTATTATTAATCTCGTCCCATAACTTTGTACTTAGGTTCATTTTCCACATTAAACTGGATGCTTTCAACCAGTTGCGCTGGCAACTGATTGCGGACCATAACGAGTGACCAAACCGTACCAACAATAATTCGTCGCTTTTTGAACTAACTCGTCGGCATGACGTCACTGGATAGAAATTATTGACAAGTAATTTAACAAATTTATTATTTGTTTCGCCCGGGTTATACGTAAATATACTTAAAACTGATTTATGACAAAAAATTCTCGACGTGCGTGGCACGTCATTCCAGCGCAAGAGGTTATAACTGGAGATTACTGTATTAAAAAAGAAAGAAAAATATCGAAGACACAGAATTACACAGAGAGTTGATCGATCTTTCGACAAACTGGTCGAATGATCGATGAAATTGTGAACGCTACTCGAGATTAGAGCCAACGAAAATATGTACTTTCTACGGGATTAGAAGTGTTACAAGGTGACGACTGGAAAGGAAGGACTGTAACACACGGTGAAAGAAAAGTTGGAAATTATTCCGTTCATTGTTCTTAACGTTTCGACGGACTTGATTATTTGAAAATACCGCTCTCGGTACGAGACGTTTTTCCTTTTTTTTTTCTTTTCTTTTCTTTTCTTTTCTTTTTTTTTCGAACAACGAATATCCAAGCAAATGGATGACAATCTTTGCCCTGGCTTATTGCGACATACTCTACGAATTCCACCCATCCTTCCCGAGGCCAGGAATTTCTCAATTGAAATTGCTCCGCGTACACGTAACTGAAAATGAGCAACGACGAAATCGTCAACCGAATTTTGACTTCGCGGTGAAATTACCGCGAAGTAATGGAAACAAGAAAAAAAAAAAGCTTCTCGTTACGAAAAATTATTACCAGTATCGCGTTACGAAAACTCGTATTATCAGTATCGTCATTCCTCTTTAGTTGTACTTGTGCCGATTAATTAATCAATTCACACAGCGAGAGAAATTGCGCCGTTTTCTTATTATTATCAATTATGTATTTCAAATACATTAATGAATCTTGTGGAGTTTATCGCCGCTGTCCGTATTTAATAGATAGTTCAGAAAAAGCATATTATTTGCGTCCCAGAGGAAAGAAATTGCTGCCAATGATCCGTATTTCATTTACAATTGTAAAAATTGCTCGGTGACCAATTGAGAACCCCTGTGACGGCTCCAAGGTATGAAACAGTCGAAATGAAGCGAATGAATGAACGTGCTCCGCGCACACAATAGAAGGGAATTGCATTTCTTACAATCTTGCGGTGCTCAGTTAGGAACAGGCGTTTCAAGCTATTTATATTTTGAGGCACGGACAAAACGCGGTGAAAGAGATGATAACGCGTTACCGCGACTTTCAGCAGGTAACACGTTCAACGAAAAATGAAATTCCAATTGACGTGGATTAACAACGTTGAGATTTACAAACAAAGCCTGACAATATGAAATATTCGTAGCTAAGAAGAAAATTATCATATCGTTAGTGATTCATCGAGGCTTGTGAATTTTTCGAACCGCCGTAGTAATTGTGAGATACCTAACAGACGAAAAACGATGAAAATATCAAAAAGTATCTACAAAGATAATATCATTTATTAGATAGCAAAATAAAGATTTTCTCAGGAAAATATTAACCACTTGGCGCTGGCAACTGATTGCGGACCATAACGAGTGACCAAACCGTATTACAATCATTCGTTGCTTTATTTTTGAATTCACTGGTATATCACTGGATAGGAATTACTAAGAATAAATTTATTCTTTTATTTTGCCCGGATTACATTTCAATATAAAACTGAGAAAATGTTGCAATTTTGGAACAAAAAATTCTCGACGTGCGTGACACGTCATTCCAGCGCAAGAGGTTAATTAGGGACACCCATAATGTCGTTCTTTCATACTATACAAAATTTTATTTTACTTTATTTTACAAAACTTTATTTTACTAGAGTTAATACAATTTTAATCTATAATATGATTTAACAATAAGCACGCTAAATGTCAATATATTTAACTAGAATACTATTATTTATTAAATTTGAAGAAAACGACAGTAGAATCACACGAGGAACCATGACTGTTATAATCAAGGAATGAAAAAAGTTTAAGGATAACAGTTATTTTTTTTTAATCGAAATGTTTCTGATCGCAAGTTTTAAGAAAAATTTCCTTTCCTTTCGCTAATAAACCGATGAAAGAAATTTATTTATATGTAACAGTTGTCGGTGAAGGGAAACTCTTTTTTCGATTGTTGATAATAATTACCGACGAGAGAAATTTATCTCGATTCTCTTTCTTCGCGTTAACATTTTCAGGGACGAATTTTTAATTTCAGTTAAAACAAAGGAACTGAATTTAATTTCATTTCATTTTTGGCACATAAAGAAAATGCACAACAATACTTTATACCTCACGCTATTGCGAACGATCGAAATGAAGGTTCCCTCGTCGATAACCATTACGAGCAACCGAAATAAATTTTCCTTATCGATAACTATTACGAGCAATCGAAATAAATTTCCCTTATCGACAACTATTACAAGCGGCCTAAATATAGAATCTTCCCTCGTCGATAAAATGATGAAACGAAAAAAAAAAAGTTGTCGATCGCTTATAATCGTTATTTATAACCAAATAACTGGTTTAATTTCTTGATCGTGTAGTATTTTCAAAAATATTCTTCACATTCTGAGATTAATATTTTCAACGTATACACAAACACGATAAACAAGTTTCGAGATTCTTCTCCATAAAAATTTCTGTGATTTATTGTTATTATTA